GAGGGCCGGGTAGCGATGGATGGATCCCCGGTATAAGATGGGGAGAGAGAGCACCAGCGGTTGTGAACCCGAGTTCACTGCAGCACGTGGGTCTGAACTGAACTGAACTGCCCTAAGTTGGTTATACAGCAGTAGGTCACTGCCAAAATAATCACCGCTCCCTGCCCCTGGGGGTTTGCAGTGTCGGGACTGACTTTACTTATAGCTGCTCAAGGAGAGATTGCATTGAAACGTCCGAGAGAGGACGAGAGAGACATGGGCCATTTCTTCTAACTTTCCAATAATTCAAATTCGTTGTAGGGGTGAGCTGATAGATTTTTTGGCCGATACCGATCCGATTGCTGATATGTGGCCTGGCAGCTTGGAGAGCAGCATCCAGCTGGTAAGTCTGTTGTGGGGGAAGGGGCATGGGGGGGCCAGAATGAGTCCCCTGCTGTGAGGGAGGGAGTGGGGCTAGCAGCGAGGTTGGGCTGGGCTGCGCTTGGGGTGGATGGCAGCGGTGCTCAGAGGGTGGCTGTAGCCTCCCCCCATAACACCCTCCTCCCAGCATCACTGCTGCCTGCTCTGAGCACAGCCCCGACACCCCCCCCCCACCGGGAAGAGCTCAGCGCATCCCTGGCCCTAGACTGCCCTTGGCTTGTGCACAGATATGGGGGCACATGCACCCCCCATGCTCTCTCATGATGTATGTAGTGGCAGGAGCCACTCCCCATGCCCCCCAGACGAGCCACTTGCAGCTGCATCCTGTGCTTCGTCCCACCCTGGCTGGGAAGTGCTTGCCTCTGCCCCAGCCCAGCCCCACTCCCTCACTGCAGGGGCCTCAGTCCTGTCCCCACCCCCTTCCTTCTCCCATGTCTCCCCTTCCCCCCCAACAGACTTACCAGTCAGACAGTGCTTTCCACGCTGCTGGGTTGTTCTTCTGGCTACCTGCGTGCTGTGCTGCAGCTGCCTACATGCACACAACATTTATCGGCAACTGTATCGGCCAAAAAAAGCCAATTACCAATAATGTCAATTTTCCTTATATCAGTGCCGATATGATATGGGGGTGATGGATCAGTGCACCTCTAAATCATTGCTTACTATTTTTCACAATTCTTCGATGACGTTTCTTGTTTTTTCCTTTTTCTTTGCACTCTCTCTCTTTTTCCATATAAGAAACTAATTTGTCCCTAGGACCCTGTTAAAAAGAAAACAGTGATTTATTTATTTTTACAATTTCTTAGACTCAAGTGTGCTACGCTTGAGACTTCTCTTTATTGCTTAGAGAGAGTAGCAAAGCACAAAGGCTCGTAATCACATACAGTACTTACAAAAAAAAGAATCCCTCAGTCGCAGTGATACTGACTGCTTCTCTTCCAAAAATATCAGACTAAAGTAGAAGTGTCCTTGGTTTGATGTAAACAGAAATACTGCAGTTTGTTCTGCATGACCCAAAGTAGGATTGCTCTCATTCGCAGAATAAAAGAATGACTTCAGTCCAAATAACCTAATGCCAGTCTCCTCTTGGACTGGAGTCCCTGATTCTAAACTGTCATTTCAGACTCAAATTGTCATTTGAGTCTGAAAAGTAATCTATTTCATCTTGCAGTCCTTACTTGGGTGGTGCCCTTTGAAATGGACAGGAAATATTATGACTTCACTGGATACCTTTTAACTAGTGGATACCATAGTTACAGGAATGGCAGCAGGAGATTTCATGCACAAAAAGCAAGACGTGACCTTTAGCAAAAGAGGGGCCCTTTACTTCTTACTGACTTTAAGCTGTTGCTTAGTGGATAACTGGGGGTTTTCATTAAAAGATAGTGACTCATCTTCATGTTAAATATTTTGTTACAAACTATGACCTCAAATCAGCAAAACACTTAACCACAAGTTTAGTTCCTAGATCAGGACACCTGGTTTCATTCGCACAAGAAACTTGTGTAGTTGGATTCTTGCATTTGTTCAGAAACCTCTCAGATTTTTTGGGGCCATGTATGACCAGGGTTCGTGTTACAGTTCAACTCTTGCGGCGGGGCAGGTCTGCGAAAAAAATTGACCGGGGTCAGGACTGTGTGCATGGTTCCCTGCCAGTACTGCGGGCCTGGGGCCAGCAGTGGTGGCAGCCAGAAGGAGCTGCCACCACTGCCTGGGCTGCTTAGAAAGGCATGGGGTGGGCCAGGGACTGTGCACAGTGGCCAGTGGGCTCCAGGCTGTTGGGGGTGGGGGGGTGCTGACCAGCTCACAAGGGAGTTCTCTCATGGGAGGGCTTTTGTCTCTTATGGTGGGGTTCAGCCCCCCCGAGCTCCCCCATAATTCAAACCCTGTGTATGACCACAGGGATCAACCTGTGTGAAAGTCATGGTTGCATCTTGCAAGGGCCAACAGGGTGGCACAAGGTAAGAGACCTATACTGAAACCTTGGTTTTGACCTACCTCTGAAGTGTGGCATCTTTTTAGGTAAAATAGGGCAACAGCAGAACAGCAGTAGTAAAGGAAAGAATACCACAGAATCAGACTTGCTGGGGTTAATTTAAAACTGCACACAGAATATAAATACCCAAGTTGAAGTTATGTCAGGGTACATAACACGAGAGCGCAAATACATGGAAGTTAGGTTAGGAGAGCACCACTGTTTTAAAACCTTGTGTAGTATGAACCTTGGACTTCAGTGGTTGGATCAGTTTCTTATGCAGTAATGTGAGGCAGGTCATAGGCTTGAAGGGGTCAGTCAGGTGCTGGTCTTGTGGATATAGGCAGGCAGAGTACTTTTAGTAGATGTGATATCTTTTATGAGACCAAATAGTTGGAAAAAAGCTCTTAGCAAGCTTTTGGGTGCAATCACCCTTCTTCAGGCATAGGGAGTCTTTCCTGGTCTGAGACTCCAAGGAGGCTAACAATGAAAAAGGAAATAGTTGGAAATCAGGGAGACAAAGGGCAGAAAAATAGGGGAGAAAAGGTGGTCTTGTGGATAGTCCCTTGATAGATGACATGGTAGCAATAATCCAACTATACGTAGATAAGACCAAGTGGCCAGATATTTAGGCACCTAAGTATTTGCAAAAGCAGACAGGTGCTGAACTCAGTGAGCATTTATCTGGATCAAAAAATACCTGAATACTTCAAAATGTATCCCTGGATGTTTTCAAAATAAGGGCCTTGGCACATCCTCCCATTTCTGCTGCCTTCCTCCTCATTGTAGTCTCTAAGCAACCAACACCAGCTTTTCCTACAACCAGTGCCATTTCTCAGTAATTCTGAAAAGTACTACCCTAGGACATAGCCCCCCCAGGCATTCCTCCTTGTTCTTTTTTAATTTTAGTGTTTCAAACAGTAATCATTTTAGACATTTTAATCTCTTCTTAGTTTACAATGAAACTATTTAGTTTGGCCTGTGTGTAATTAAAGAGAATTTTCAGGAGGTGCCAAATGCCCAAAACAGACTATAAATTAATAATCTAGTTTACTCAGAAGCAATGGGAAAATATCCATAGGATGCATTAGTGTTAACTTTTTGTTATTTTTTACACCCATCTCCTGATGCTTGATGCTTCTGATAAAGCCTCATCTTTTAAAATCATGCAGGTTCATGACTTTCAGCTTTCATTTAGAAGACATTAAGTTTCTAACTTTCATTGTTGTCAAGAAAATCTTGATTCAACTGGAATTTACCATTAAGTCTCAAAAACAGAGCAATTAAAAAAAAAAACCTTTAAAAACATACTGTTTATTAACAAATCTCATAATTTTATGCCAGGCTCTTATGTTTTGGTGTCTCGGCTTCTTATTTTGGATAAATTAATGTTGCAAACACTGGAATTGAATGAAAGGTCAGCCTGTATTTTTGTACCAAGAATAAGCATACTGCAATTTTTGTGCGCTTCTGTAACTTCAAACAAGGGAAAATCCTTTTAATCAAATGCTAATATGTACTGTGAAAAATCAACTAAAGAACCAAAATCCTTGTAATTATGTCCTTTCTGATCAAAGGAGAATAGACGTGTATGTGGGTAAACAGAGATTCCTCCAAGGAGAGTGCCATGGATCATGCTGATATTAGAAAAAGAGGAAACCATTCTTCTTGTGTTTAATACCTCTTTATTGTAAATTTACCGTATTATATCACAACTAAGAATTATGCTTGCCTACATTTCTTTCAGTTTCTTTATTTTCTCTGTTGCATGGTATTTGAAAGCCTGTCTTTTCTCAACAATCAGCAGCAAGTGCTTCGATTAATTTATTATGGTAAAAGGTACAGTGTTAAAGGAAGAAAAACCTTGCACTCTGGCCTGAGATGCACAAAAGTGGTGTGAGCAGTACCCTGCTGACTAATGACGTGTTAAGCAAGGTAGTGGTTTGAGCATGTAAGAGAAGTCACCAGACAACCAGAGGGCATATCAGCACACAAAGAATTAAAAAAGGTGTTGTGGGGTGCCAGACACTTGTACTGAAAGATCATACTTGTAAGGATATTCTGTAGCCAAATACCACAAAAGCATTGGTAAGAAAGCCTTTGGCAAACAGGAGATTTCTCATTCCTGAGTTTTATTCCCAGGGCTTGAGAGGATCATTGCCTGGATGATTCTCACTTAAATAACAAGAAAAGTGGAGACAGAACAGAT